CATTTGGTATCTGTCTGAACTCATAGCTGTAGACATTTAATATCCTACGTAAGTGAAAGCACTCATCAACATAAGTGTATGCGCTTACCAGCATACATACATGCTGCGACTGCATGAGCACATGGATATTTCCATGCCTGAAAACAACCACAATCACACTATTTATGTCGTAAATCAACTCTAAATGTTTGGTCTTCTCCTCCGACGTTACGGCGTATGCACGACACGACAAAAGTATGACCAACTCAGTCGAAATTATGAACAACCATTGATGTTGCCAATCGCTCATTTGCTTCCATTGATTCCACCACTGTAGGAGCCCAAGTTTTACCTCTATTTATAAGACTCTCTATTTCTTTGCCTTTGTCCGACCAAACTTTACCCAATCTAAAGTACGTCTCTTTCATCACACTCGCAATTGGGAGATGGCGTGTACCTTTTAGTACCGAATTAATGGCCTCAGCAAGGTTTGTGGTATGTCCGTATCTCCGACCTTCGTCATATGCTTGTGACCATTTTTCCCGCGGTATTTTTGAAGCCCACTTCCAAACACGCTGATCATCGTAAAATACCTTCAAATTCTCCAATCTCTTATCAAAATTTGGTCGACGTAGTTCGTATCCTGTTTCATAATATACTGTGTTAAACCGTAATTAAAAAAACCATGTAAAAAATGCACAAATATTGAAAATAAAACTTACCCATGCTGACTATCTCGCTACGAATGTGTGCGTTATGAAATTGGTCGATACTATTCTTGCCAATATGACGGATACAATATGTCGGATATGCATACGGAGGTATCCAACGACTTCCTGGTCGTTCAATTGCCGCCAAAATACCCGTTCCTCTATCGGATATCAAGCAAACTCCATCTTCACGAACGACATATTGACGTAGATTGGTCAGAAAGAAATCCCAAGCCTCTGTTGTCTCTCCCTCAACAATGGCGAATGCAATTGGGAAGATATTTCGCTCACCATCTTGAGCAACTGCCATCAAAAGTACATGCCTATATTGACCATACAACCACGTACCATCTACTTGGATCATACGTTTACAAAATGGAAATCCTTCAATACATGCCTTGAATGCCCAAAAATAGTCTATGAAATTTTCTTCCCTGGCAGAAGTGACCTTCTTCGTCATATGCGGGCATGGTTTGAGACTTCACTATGGTTCCTGGGATAAATCGCTTCATTGCTTGTAGCAAATGTGGTAGCTCATTGTACGATGTATCCCAATCTCCATACGTCGCTTCATTGCCTTCATCTTCGCATTCCACACCTTGCCATTTTACTGATATCCAAATTGGCTTCGAATAGATGCAGCTAACACTGAACAAGATATCCTTGGATCCTTTTCAACCATCGCCTTCACGTATTCACATATTACATCGGAGTCCAATAGTCGGTGGTCTTGTTCGATGAAGTTTCGCAAACACGTGTGCGGACCATTGTACCTCGTGATGACCCAAAACATCGTGCCTTTGATTTTTCGACACTCTGATCTTCCACTTGCACTCTAGGCCATATTTTACACACTTCGCGTATAGGGTTTTCTGGTTGGACTCTGCAACATGGATATCAACATGGCATTTTATGCAGTACTCTTTAATCGCTAGGGTAGCTTCATTTTTCCTCTGAATTGCACCCCAACTGAAAATTCACCAGAATTATCGAATGATGCAGTCATTTGGTATGGAGGTAAATGTGGCATGTCTGGGAATTCAGGTGCCCTCATCGCATCATAGTCTATCTCGTACATGTGAGGAGTAGCTTCATACGGTGCCGGAACTTCATCAATTGCACCTCCACCAAAAATATTTCGTCGCCGCCCAAAACGGGTTCTTCGGTTTCTTCATCTTCGCTTGAATCATCATGAATTTCTCCCCATCGATTTTCAGCGTCAATATCAACAACCAATTCCGGTATGTTTCTCGTCACACTCTTCTGTTGCAGATGTCCCCCGACTTCATTTACACTTTCCAATAGTGCCATAAAACTGTTCGGGAACCTGTATGTCGGCTCCTCAAACTGACTATATAAAGTCATTTCAGATGGATTTTGAGCCACACCTCTTGATGACCCAGGAACATCACATATGTTATGCACATCAAATAACTCAATAACTGCTATATTGGTTAACTCATGTAATCGAACCATGGTTCCAATATCATCATCTTCTTCAAGTGGAACTGCAGCATATTTGACTGGGTTGGGGCATATCATAAACCTATACCTCAAACCATCAACTGCAACTCGAATTTTTCTTTCTATCTTATGCTTCATTTCTATAAATGTGATGTCTTTTTTGAACATCATATTATTGGTTTTTCAGACTGAAAAACTACTCCGATCTCATTTTCCATAATCTGTCCATTATAATGGACAATCGTGAAAAAGTTGTTGCTCTTCCTTTCCTTTCCTTTCCTTTATTGTTTCTTTCTTCGAATCAATATGTACGTGGAAAAATGTTGTGGAATAATGCTCTGTACGTGTAAAAAAATTATTTCTTTAAACAACAATAAATTAAAAAAATTAAATTTATATAATCTAATATATATAATATAACTTAAACTAATAAACTTTTCTTTATTATATAATTAGTTAAAATAACAAACTAACAAACTAATTAAGCACTAATTAACTTTTTTAAATTTTAACTTAAACTTCAACAAACAACTTAATATACGTTTAAACACACTAACAAATTAATTAAATATTTTTACATTTAAAACTTAAACTAAGAAACTAATTAACTAATTTTTTATATAATCTAATATATAACTTAAACTAACAAATTAATATAATATAACTTAAACTAACAACTAATAATTTATACTAACAAACTAATTAACTAAATTTCTGTTTTATCCTAAACCCTAAACTAACAAACTAATTATTTCATAATTTCATATTAATAAACTAAATTAAACAATTAAAAATTACCTCACAAACGATATTTGAGCCTTATCTCCATTTCCTCTTCTTTTATTTTCCTTTCATTTCCTTTCTCTCGCCAAATTTTCTTTCTTTCTTATGATTCTACCCTAAACCCCTCATATCCAATATAATGATATTTCAACGTTGGTAGGTAAGTTGCAATCAATTTGAGCTGTATAATTCACGTTGAAAGCTGTAAATTTTTCAACCGTTGAACGCTGCAATAATACAACACAGCTGATTTTATGCTGCACCAATAAGCTATGATAACAAGAGTGAACAGTCTCGAAGCTATGGCATGAGGGACAAGCTATGGCTAGAAGCTAGGGCACGAATCTATGACACTTTGCAGCTCAAATCATGCTGCAATAATACAGCAGATGTAAGAGGAATCACGCGAGGAGCAGGAGGAATAGGTCTCCTGAGCAGCTACAAGTGGAGAGGTGTATGGCTACCTATCCTGCATGGCCCAACGTTGTTCAGTCCAAGCATGGACTGCATGGTGACCTTTGGCGAGCTGGGCGTGCATGGAGGTCGTTGGGCGTGCATGGCCGTGCATGGAGTCGTTGGAGTGCCTGGGCATGCAGGAGGTCGTTGGGTGGGCGGTAGGGCGTGCATGGAGGTCGTGGGGTAGGTCGCAGGGCGTGCATGGCGACCTGGTTGGTCGCCGGGCGTGCATGGCGACCTGGTTGGTCGCCGGGCGTGCATGGCGACCTGGTTGGTCGCGGGGTGCATGGCGACCTACCCGGTACTGTAGAGGACACTACTTTAGCAATTAATCTGGCGATCCCACTATTTAACGAATAAAAAAATTTCAACGCACTATCAACGAGATTTTGCCAGGTAGGGTCTATAAGTACCATTAGTTTTCTCTAGAGTTTCAAGGAAACGTGGCGAAAACGGGGGGGGGGGGAGGAAATGGCGAGTCGGAAAAAGAGAGCAGATAATGCTTGCTTGGGGTCTGGGACTTGGACTCTTTCACATGTAAGCACATGACGCTGGTTTGATGTTACGGTGTCCGTAACATGGCATAGAGGAGTTTAGCAGGTGTACGGTGTACCCAAATTTGTTTGCCCGGCGATGGACCGTTGACAGCATAGTTCCCGTCAAGGGGAACCAAATTTTCTAGCATGGAACAAGGCTTGTTTGATTACAGCGATTCCTCATGTATTGGACCATTCTTCGAGTGTTGGTGCTAGAGATGAATTTGTGTAAATCATGTAAACATTGCTAAAGCATGCCCACAGTTGTTTGAATATGTCCACAGTCATGTATTTTTTGATAAAATTTAATAAAACAATATTTTATATATTTTTTATTAGTTGGTAAAATAATTATAGAATTTAAAATCATTTACTTTTAAGACTGCAATATTTATGTGGGTTTTGTTATACCTCTTATAAGATCTCTTCTAGATAGACTTTCGTTGTCACTTTCCTACTTATCGAGCTGAGGCTTTTAACATATTAGATATCCTTTAGAATTATTCGAAACCTATGTGATAACACTTCTTTGGACATCAAATAGTTATGTTATGTGATTGTTGATATACCCATATGATCTATTAAAATAAAATGTATTATTTGACAGTCAAATTTTTTTCGGACTACCAATCTATAAATAACAATCACGATCCTAAATTTGACACCAATACTAAAAAATTCTATATATAAGCCCCTCAAGCCACAAACGACCATATCTTGGGAATATTATTTCTCTACAAACCACTAAGTATCACTCTTTATTCAAATCTAAAAAAAATAAATCATTTATAATCACCACAACTAGAATATAATAATAAATACTGAATAATTTATGAATGTCATAACTCAAATATTATCATTAATATGTTTGTATTAAGGTTAATCTTCATCCATTATAATTGATTAATGTTAATTTTTATGAAAAAAATTATGACATATTTACCTTATTTTAATATATAAATCAAATATTAAAATATCATTTGAGCATAATAATTGGGGCATATTTTAATCAATAAAAAACCTGCAACCAACAATTTATTATTTAATAATAGTAAAAATGTTCAAACAAGTACCAAAATTCTGCGAGAGAGTTGAGGAGCGAAGAGAGAAAGAAATGAGTTTCCGCAGCGCGTTTAAGGTAGCTCCGATTCTGCTTCTTCTGCCGATCGTTTTCACATTCGGTAATTCTTCAGTTCCAAACAAGTTTTTTTCTCATTAATTATACCGTCTCGGTTTTCTTCAGATCTGGTCAATTTTTTTAATCTTTCTTTTGTGTTTCGATTTAATCAATTCACGTTCCCGACGTTTGATTATTGTTTTCTTCCACCTTCACTTCGATTCTTCAGTGAACGGCAAGAAGTCAGGCGATGTGACTGAGCTACAGATCGGGGTCATGGTATTTCTTTAAATATATTTAAACAGTTTTTTGTTACCGCTTTACTTTAGTGATTTAGACTCAGGTGAATAGAAAGTTGGAAACGTGTCTCTCATTAGCTATAACTGTGATATGGAGAATTTTGCGGTTGCTTAGTTAAGTGTTCAGGTAGCATACAATTAGACAATGTAAAACATTTTAGTTTTACACTGATTTATGGTAATTGGGCGAATGTAAATTGATGACTGAAATTAAAATTTGAGAATGAGTAGATTTTTACGAAACAAATAAGTAGAAGAGGAGGTAGCCATCAATTTACAAATCTAATGGTCGTAAATCAGTGTGTGTTTGTGTGTATGGGGGAGGGGCATGATCCAGTTACATTGAAGTTAATGGTTGAGATTAACATTAGAAAATGAGAAGATATTGACTGGAAAAAAAAAAGTTAATCTCAACCTTTTTTTTCCTCAATCTAATGATCCTATAAATCTATATATTTCAATTTCGTCAGTGGAAGTGGATCCTAACCCACCCTCTCTCTCTCTCTCTCTCTCTCTCTCTATATATATATATATATATATATATGTAAAACTTTTGAGTTTTACATAATTTTTGGATAGTTAGATTAACTAAACTTAATGCATGAGATTAAAACTTTTAAATTAAGGATAATTTACTTATTTTTTCCTAAATATTTCTCACTTCCTATTGTTAATCTCCGAGGTTTGTTTTCACTCATCCAATGATCCTAAAATCGTCTACATTCTATTTATATATATAAATAAATTCTTCATAGCAAGCATTATTTCTTTACTGCTCCTGGCTAATTCCTAAGTATCTGAGAGCATGGAGTCTGTTACTTACCTTTAGAATCACATCAAATGAAGAGTTTAAACTCTTAGGTTGAGTCACTAGTTTTTACCTTTTAATTTGGTAACTGTAGTGTTAGTTCCTAACCTATTCTTGTTTGTTGGTTCATCACTTCATTGTATCAGAGAAACTTTCCGTTTTTTATTCCCCCTTTTTCGTTGCTTGTGATCTTAATAATTATTTTTATTATTTTTTTCACAGCATAGGCCCAAATCATGTAAATTTAGGGCTCATAAAGATGATAGAATCAAAGTGCACTATCGGGTATGTTTGCTTCAGCTTGATTTTCAATTTTGGTCAATCTTTGATTTTTTTTTCTTGGTGCTAATAAATGAGCTAAAATAATTTGAGATTACTATATGTCAACTGGTTTCAACATCTCGGGCATGGTTCCTTTTGTTTGATTTTGAAAACAGGAATTTGGTTTGGTAATTTTCTGCATTATATTTCAAATTTCAGAGTAAAGGCTCATAGACGGCATTATGTATTTTCGTTAATGGATGTTTGTAATAATCCTTTTGATTCTGCCATTTTTTTTCTTCAATTTGGTTTATGCAATCAAAGCTTTTATGGTTAGGAACTTGCAGTTAATTGTATGCTACCTATGACTTCCTTTGATCACATATATTGTCATCCGTTTTTGCAGGGGAAACTCACTGATGGAACTGTTTTCGATTCAAGTTTCGAAAGGGGAGACCCAATTGAGTTTGAGCTTGGCATTGGTCAAGTAATCAAAGGTAAGTTCCCCCTAGTAACCGAAAGTTCGCTCTCTTTATGACTAGATTGCCGGTTGTTCTATGCATGGAGTAGGTTGATGCTTGAAGGGGGGGAAATGCTCTTTGCAGGATGGGACCAAGGATTATTAGGAATGTGCGTCGGTGAGAAGCGGAAGTTGAAAATACCTGCAAAGCTTGGTTATGGCGAACATGGTTCACCACCTAAAATCCCAGGTAATTTCTTTTGCGGCTATTGATTCTTCTTTTATTGTTAGTGGGAGGGAGCTACTTCAACATCTTAAGTTGCTAATGTTAATCAACTGTCCATTGCTTATATAATTGGATGACTGATGTTATCAAGCAAAGCAGCAATACATAATTGCTTCCAAAATTATCGGTTTTGGCTGCCAAAACAATATGACTAAATATGTGGTTTGGCCAAATTTACAGGCGGAGCAACACTGATATTTGAAACAGAGCTTGTTGCAGTCAATGGGAAGCCGTCAAACGGAGGAGATGCGAATACAAGCAAAGATGAGCTATAATTAAAAATGATTCGAACACGAGAATAAACTTAAATAAACAAACATTTACAGCAAGCATGAACATAATCTTAAATAAACAAACATGAGCATAATTTTAAAATTTTAAACGAACGTGAATCGTGCATATAATAAAGATAAAAGCAAACAAACAAACAAAATATGTGCCTGTTCAAATTGATTCATTTCCCTTTAAAAAAAAGTTAAAGACCCTTTACATCCTTGAACCGATATAGGCAATGTAAGAAAAACCAGTAAAGTTTGCAGCAATTTTTAGGGGTTGCTGACGTCCATGACACAATTGAGCTTCTAATTTGCTCTTGTTTAAGCTATGCATAATTTAACAAAATCTTTGGGCTTCAACATAGATAAGAGTTGGGTCATTCATTTTCTAGTTTTAATATGATCTTATAGCTATATATTTAAGAATAACATGTTCTTTACCCCTGAGTTCGAGTCATTCACTTGAATCTAAAGGACCAATTTGTAAGCTATGAATACTTCAATCATTTCACTAGAATCTTATAAGACTGCAGCATTGTGATAAACATATAGGAATTCGTACATCAGATTCCAAAAGCTAAAATCCAAAGTTTATACAACTCATCAACTCATTCCATCCATTCATTAATTCTTCTATCTATTCTATCTCTATGAATATAGTATAAAGCAATTCTACCTTGTTCTCCATCCAAACCAAACAAAAGGTCCCATACATCTCACTGTACCAATGGACGGGTCCTCGACTGTCTATTCTTAAAAGCAAAACACCAAACAATGATATAATTTACCGATGCTAAGAAGTGGTTCTGAACCAATACAATATAAATGATTATAAAGTATCAATATATTCGTTAATCTTTTACGGTAAATAACCAAAATAAAAATAATATATAATGATAGATACGATTTAAAAAATAATAATAATTAGATAATCAAAATAAAAATAAAATAATATGTATGTGATAACATACGTATTATATTGTAATCACCTTAATTTGTTCAAATAAAATTATAAAAATGATGTATATAATAATTTATCTAGTGATTGGATTACTTTAATAAAGTCACTGATCTTTTATCCCACAACTTAATTAGTAAGTTAAGGGTATAAAGTAACCCTAACATCATGACAAATGACATTTAACCTTTTTTATCTTGAGTGCCCCCCAAGATTCTTCCGCTCAATTTATTATTATTATTACTATTATTATTATTATTATTAAAATTTGGATGAACTACACCCTTAAGGCCTTAACTACTAATTATATAAGTTTAAACCGACCACTAATCTTTTATTTTTTTAATTAATCACTCAAATTTTTAAATAATGTTAATTGAATTATTAATTAGTGGTTATATATATATATATATATATATTATATATTATATATATATATATATATATATTTCTTCCTATTTTTTTATATTATAATATTATTTAATATATCAAATACAATCTAAAATTATAAAATATATTTACAATATTATATTTTAAAGAAGATATTTAGAATGTAAAATTAGAGGTAGCAAACGGGTCATTTGAATCGGGTTTGGGTCGGGTCATTCCGGGTCTAGATTAAATTCAGTTTAATTTTGTTATGATTGGGTCGGATCTAGTTCGGGTGTACGGTGAATCGGATCGGGTCAATTTTCGGGTTGGTGATTATTGGATTGGTTGTTTTCCGGTTCGGATCATTATCGAATCGATTGCTTTTTTGATCGTGACAATATCTGGTCGAGTCAATACCATATTAGTTGATTTTTGGGTCGGATTAATATTGGATCGATTAGATTTCGGGTCGAGTCAATATCAGATCGATTTATTTTCGGTTTAGGTCAACCTTTAGATCATGTCAATTCGGGTTGAATTAGTTATGAGTCTTATCAAAATCATGTATATATAGTATAATTGATATATAGTAAAAATATGTCTTCTTATTTGTTAATTTTATCATTTAGGTTTAATTTCAATTCTCAATTATTCAATATTTTGAATTAAATCATCATTTAGAGATGATAAATCGATAAGTTAACACAAATACGATCCTATAATACGTGTTAGAATTTGTTATCAAAATTTTATATTGATTTCGTATGAAAAGTTTATAATGAGACTATTTGATAAAAACTAATTTTTTTTAAAAAATTTTTTCCAATTATAAATTTAATATTTTTATTAAATTTTTAAAATTAATACATAACTTTATTTGTTAAGTTTTAGTCCGTAAGTAAACTTTATATTATTTTTATTATAAATTTAATATTATTTCCTTTGTTTTAGTTGTTTTCTATTATTTTTATTATAAATCTAATATTTTTATAACAAGTAAGATAAGTAAACTTTATTTATTATTGTTTTCAATTTTACAAATAGATTCTTACTTTTATATTCCTTTTAAACTTTTTATTATTTTAGTATAAATATAATATTTTTAATAAATTATCAATTTTATTTAAATTAATTTATTATTGAAAATAACTTTTATTGTTTAATAACTTTGATCAATTACTATATGTTCGTGTTGTTTTCGGTTCGGGTTAAATTCGATTCTGGTTGCTTTCGGATCAGGTTAAAATTCAGTTCGGGTTGTTTTTTGGATTGAGTTGCTTTCGATTCAGGTTAGTTTCGGTTTTGGTTGATTTCGGTTTCGCTAAATTTTTGATCGGGTATGAATCGAGTCGGGTATGGGTCGGGTATAAGATCAAATTTGATTATCATGTTAAGGTTAATAACGGGTATTGGGTCTGGTAAATCGGTTCGGGTATTGGGTCTGGTAAATCAGTTCGGATAATCGGGTTTGGGTTAACTTTGCCAGGTCTAGGTAAAACATTGATGAGAGTATATACGAGTCAATAAATTGATAGGAAGAAAACATTTACAAACTATTGCAGTCAAAATACTAAATTTAGTAAAATGCAAATTTAATGGACTAAATAAAAAGTGTGTATTTTTAGTAAAAAATAAAAATTGAAGTTACATATGTAACACCCGTAACTCATATTCGACCCGAATACAAGTCCAAGATGTCACATTGACTTTTCAATCTTTAATTCTTAAAGAAAAATCCCGGGAATTTAAAACTTTCATTAAAACAAAATACTTTAATTTACATAAAAGAGACCACTTAATACAAAATCGATCATTGCATTCGTAATTAACCACTTATTACATACCAACACTTTATACACAACAAAATACCTACTTTGTCAATTACTTCTGATATGATTTCTTAGTAATGTTGTTGTCTGTGCCACAGCTATTCTGAATCTTCTTATTTCTCGGTACCTACATGTAAATCACTTACACACTAAGTCATAGACTTGGTGAGGCAATAAATGAATATGCAACAATATCTTCATGAATATGCATTCTTACTATTTCCTTCATGACATTTCAACATGCATGTACTACTAACATATATAATCATATCATGCATGTACAAAACTTACCTTCTTGTACCATTTTCACTTAACTTTGTATTTCAATTGCCCATGTATATTATTGAGAATAGAGGTATGTGAGTACATAGAGGTTGTGCACTAATGCTGTCACCACAGCTCGTATCAATTCCCTCATGGGGCACCGAACCTTAGTTCAGTATTCGTCCCGAAGAACTGTCATATATGTCCCGTAGGACCACTACATCCCGAAGGACTACGTCCCGAATGACTATTATACCCTCGACTCTTGGCATGCCAATTACACCTATAGCTCTCATATCGTATACTATGGGCATTATTCTTATATTCCATATGTTCATGTACTCATGTCATTTCTCTTGTGATCATGTAGCTCATGTCATTTCTCTTGTGATCATGTAGCTCATGTCATGTTCTCATATCACATATCATATCACATGTGTTTTTGAATCTATTCATATATATATACATCATTTATCCAATCACATGAACATATATATGCCTTATGCATGTATTACAATAATTATCATGTATGCATGTTCACAACTATTGTACTATAAAAATCAATATAGGAATTAGACTTATCACAAGTCTTATTCCATTATACTATACATATAGTATGCACTCACCTTAGCTTTTCTTTGATTCGATTCTAATCATTTGATCGTTCCGGAATAAGCTTACTTTTAGTATCTACATAATCACACATGGATCTATATCAGTATTATAGCTAATATACTCTAATGGTTCACTCTTTAGATTAAGATAAATGTCAATTTTCTCTTTTAATGAAGGTATGCACTGATGCACTACTTGTGCATCGGTGCATGAAATGCATTCGATGTTTTATTATTAACGGGATACATCGATGCATGCCTTATGCATCGATGCACTAATGGCATTCGATCTTTTTATTTTAAAAGAGTGCATCGATGCACTACTTGTTCATCGATACACCTTCAAACACTTTCTGGGTTTTAACCTTGATGCATCGATGCACTATGAATATGCATCGATGCACTCTGCCCAGAATCCTCTTTTTGAACCCGAAAATTCATTCATTTTGGATTAAATCCTTCATGTTTAATCCTCTTTTTCATTCTTAACTATAGTACACATCCTTAAACCAATTTATACTCATTTATTTCATCTTAAACCTCCAAATTCTATCATTCATATGTAATTTAAGAATTACATCAATAAATCAACATGTTTGAATTCCGCTTTTAACACTTCATATATCTTAACTAGATTGATGACAAGTCAAATTTAACTTTCAATTCTAGTTATGAACTCTATTCCAAGATTTCATTTAAGAACTTCAAATCTTAAACCTCTCCTAACTCCATCATCCTTTGATGTTAAGATAACTTAAGCTTTCCTTGAGCTTAGTTATCATCTAATAATCAAAACCCAATATTAAATTTAACAAGAAACTCAATAATCAGAAATCTTACCTTTGCTTTGGTTCACACGCACAAGGAAGAAAGAAGAAGAAGAGAACTCTGGAAGTCTTGGGTGTTTTCTCTCCTTCCACCCACGTGTATCCTTATATACATACTTATCTCTTCTTTAATTATTTTTCCTTGCA